CAACACCATGAACGGTTCAAACTGGATGTATAATAATAAGATGCGTGAAACAATGCCCATCAACCTTGATCCGAATCGTTCGTACGCTTATTAACGACGCTGTATACACAACACACACTGCACGCAGTAACCAGTTAGGAACCCGTGGGTTTAATGACATGCTGATACGAGGGGTTTCATAATTTACACTTTTTCCCAATTACGTTTATTGTTAGTGTGATTATTATAATGGAGGATGAGGCATACAGCATGCAAGGACAAAATTAAAAATGCAAGGAAAACTGTAAAGTACGATATTCCTTACGACTTAGGGTATGTGTAGATGGAAAAAAAATTGATTTTGGAGGAACAGGACCTGAAGGTTCCATCTAACTAGTAGTTGATACCACTCACGAGCTTTTGAAAATGCCGTTAAGGATCTTAGGCTTACATGAAAACAATTTGATCTGTGAAATACCAGCTTTTCAAGAATAAACTACCATGTAACTCGACTGAAAAGAGTTCAGTTGATTAATGAAAAAAATAATTCCTATTACACTTAAAGTTGCCTTGTCAACAGCATAGGCAGTACTGTATGAAACTCGGGTATTCCCCAAGTGCTAACCATTTAACCGGGTCATTTTGGTCAAGTAACGGACTTTGGTCTCGAAAGAAGAAAATATACAGTAAGACTACAATGTTACGTCCTCTGGTCCTCCAAATGGCCGGTTCAGCCTAATGGACTAATACGAACAGGGACTTTGAAACACACGGTAGGAAAACTGCAGTTGAGTCACGCATCGCTCATAAGAAGTCGAAGTGATTAGCCAGCCAGCCAGTTGCTTATCGCGACACGAAACATTACTCCACCTACATGCTAGGTTCGTGAGGGACCGCGAAACACGTGCTACACTTTGTAACCATTCCCAGTCTTGGCAATATCGTGAATAATTCAAGAAAGTCGGCCCAGCACTGCACTCTCAGGGGATAACATTTTCACAGGGCTGTGTTCTGGAAGGGGGGGGCGAGTTCTCTGGTCCTCTGAAATGCCTGACTCATGTGGTGAAATAAAATTGTTTCAGAAAAATTCCTTTTTCAACTGCTAAGGTACGCAGCTCCTAATTCTGAACTCGCGAGTTTACTCGGGGCCTGTTCATAGCAGTGAATTTTAACTCGGCTCGTTACGACTTGGTTTCACCAACGGGACGGCAAAGCAGGTATTCACCGACCTGCGCGGTGGTGTTCCTTCCAATGTTACACATGCGCACGGAGCAGAGCGTAACATACTACCCTCCATTGCACCTGGACCCATTCAATAAGAATCCAAAATAAGATTTCTAATCGCCCTGATGACGGAGGCAGTATGACCTCTGAAACGTTGGTTAACATCGACCAGAATACACAGCGCAACAACCCAGAAGACAGAAATATTCATACTCACCGCTGTGAAAACCTCAAATCATACAGAGCCAAAATAAGTTATGACGACAGCAGAAAGGTGGTTATGTTGTTTGTTGATCGGAAAGGATGCGGAAGGAAGTGGTCGTAGCTTATTTCAAAGCATTTCCAAGTAAATTTCTACAGGAGCCAAGGAAAACTATGCAAACTCTCAAAGTCGCTGGTCTGCGGTTTCATATCCAAACTCTGGACGTCGGAATTACGATGTTCAGTAAAGGTGCAAGTCGCTAGCTGAAACAATCCCCCCTTACTCCGACGTCATGTCAATTCCCAAACATTTCGCTGACTAAAGAACGATGTAACGTTATGTAACATCACAAATGCAGCTATTTTATTCTAATATGTCTTAACACTGCGCATCCGATAAAGTCCATTTCATTCAGCCGTGCATTAATCACTGGTAACACAGACCTACATAGAAGGGGGTGGTTAACATTTCAATGTTTTAAGCCCGGTAGGATAAGTAATTATTTTTCGAACTGACTCGTCTACCGCGCTCTGCCAATATTCATGAGCGTCC